GCTCTCCCAGCGGCTGGCACAGGCCCTGGTGACCCTGGGTGACCCGTGGAGGCCAGGCAGGAGGGCATAGGCGGGTGAGGGGCTGGCCCAGCGCGGGCCTCCGTGAGAAGAGGCACATCGTCCCTTTCACAGTCCCCGTGCCTGGACGGACCTTCTGGAAGGTTCCACACAGGCGCCTCCGCCCCTCCCCACTGCCTCGCATGTAGATAACGTCCTCCCTTCATCTGACTGATGGACAGAGGAGACCGAGGCCCAGAGAGGTCAGGGCACTTGCCCAAGGTCACAGAGCTCCCCGGCGGCCCGCCTGCCCTTGTGTGTGGCCGGGCCCACCACAGGGTCCCATGCCGGTGGCAGACAGACCTCGGAGAACAAACAGAAGAGACAGCCCACAGCTGCCAGCTGTGCCCAGCGCTGCAGGGCACGGACGAGGGGCAGCCGAGAGGGGGCCCAGGGCTAGGGCCTGGGAAGCTGTGCGCGGGGCACCAGAGTGGGGAGGGTGGGCGTGAGTCACTCCAGCAGAGCTCCGAGAGCAGATGGGGTCTGGGCGGCGAGTGGCGAGGTCTGAGGGTTATACACGAGGGGGACACACCCCAATGTGGAGCGGGTGGAGACGGCAGGCCCTGGGCCAGAATCCGTCCTCGCTGCCCGCGGGGTGACTGCGCCAGCGCAGTACGGATGACGGACAGGACTCGAGTGAGGACAGGACCGGAGGGCTGAACCTGGCCAAAGGCCTGCTGGGCTTGCAGGAGAAACATGAAAGCTTGGGAGTCTGGCCAGTGTTGCTCAGTGGTGAGCGTCAAGCTACGACCCAGGAGGTCAGGGTTCGATTCCTGGTCAGGGCACAGGCCCGGGTTATCATCTCGACCCCCAGTGTGGGGCGTGCAGGGGGCGGCAGATCCATGATTCTCTCTCATCATGGATGTTTCTCTCTCTCCCTCTCCCTTCCTCTCTGAAATCAACAAATATATATATATTTTTTAAAATCCCAACACAGACATTTGACTAAAATAAACGGAAATGCAAGTGTCTAGGAAGGGCCAGCTGCTCTGGAGGAGCCAGAGCTCATGCCCCTCACCCCTTGAGACCGATGTCGCTGCGAAGGGTGAGGTTTCTGCCACGAGCATGCACCCCTGGCCGAGGGAACGGAAGAGAGGGAGAACCCCACCCCCTTCCC